TTTTGGTCAGAGTCTAACGCTCTAAACCATTGAGCCACGAGCTCTTTGTATGCAGGGCCCGAGAAATGAGGCAAAGGCAGAGCAGTACAAGGGAGTTCTGTTAGCGGTCGGGTGAATGTTCATCTCCCGATCTGAACTGGCACGACAACGAGCTCGTGGCGCCAATGGCTAGCGCGTAAGACTGATCGAAAGGGTTACAAGTTCGAGCCTCGGGTGTTGCAGCACTTGGGGCTGGGTATGACTGGCAAACGACGGCGAATAGGCCAGAAATCGCCATTCCAGTGTTTATTGTCCTTGCTCGCAATACTATCTGCCTATACTGCTAACCGCTGCAGCGGTTGGCAGGGCCTGACAAATGAGGCCCGGGGCAGGGCGGGACAAGTATGTTCCCTTAGCGTTGATTAACGTTCACCAACGCGTATCCTAACATCTGTCAGCTAGCGAGGTCTTTAAAAAATTTTTCTCTCTTTTATGTGGCTTGTTTGTCGTTTTGAGCCCATATTCTGTATCAAAAAGAAGTCTGAGTAACACTGGAGCACGAGCTGATGTATGCCGGTACTGACTGTTTGCTTAGTCGTTCGGAGTTGATACAGTCGAGCTACATGCAAACTCTGAGAACTAGAAGAAAACGTTTGACTTGTTTTTGTTCTCATGTAGCCGCGGATTTTGTTGTCTAATGCAGCTTAACAGAGTCGCACTTTAAGCTTCCTGAAGTTATCTCGTGAAGTAACACGGCGTATTTTGAAAATCAGGCTGAACGTTTTGGACATATTTTAAGACGTTATCATGCTTACTCTTGTTTTGTTTAAACTCTTTTCTCAAGTGCTAATTGATACAACTCCGGCGATACCGCAACCAAATACCCAGAGTCAGGTTCTGCCTGGTAGCGGACGACTGAAGACTAATACAGGACGTTTTTTTCACATTCGTCATAAAACATTTTAAGAAATGTTAATTTGGAAATCACCTTCTGCGATCTCGTGATAATGACCACTGTCTTTTTAACAAACGTAGCTGCAACTACAATTCAGCTTTATCAGGTGTCGATAATTACGCTGGCGTTGGATGACCTTCAACTAGCTTTACTCGCGGTTTTCTCTCTCGTCTGTATCGTCTGAGCGCAGAACGACGGCTTACCTGACACCAGAGGTGGTTTTTTGCCAGAGTAGACATTCTACCTTGAAGCCTCTCTCCTCTCGCTAGGCAGCCTTTTCACAAGAGACTAATTTCCAAGGCAAATTCCAGCCACTTAGGTCCACAAATTTGGGTTTCCTGGTAGTCCCTTCTAGCCTCTGTTTCTATCGGCTGCTTTTGAGG